CAGGCAGCATTCCCCCGAGGGCGCTGGAACCACAAGTAATGTCCAACACGGAGGCTAGGCCTGCCTTGCCATGTTAACATAGATGTTGGGTTTACCGGACGTCAGTGAACATACGTGACCGCAACACGGAAGCTTACACAACATTGGAGCTGTAGTACTACCCCTTCTGTAAGGTGCAGAGACTGACAGACGTCAAAAAAGATCAGACAATGAAGACCTTAATAGTAACTATCGACTCGTATCCCACAAATAAACAAAGCATACAATGGATGCAGGCAAGAACTGGGTGGAAGGTGATGTGCGGCGGTGACAAAGCTTTACGTTTGCTGGGTATCATCGCTGAAAAATTGTCACTTTTGTGAGCTATTTGGTGACAACATGCGAAAATGGAAACGCACTTAAATAGGACATCCCAATCAGGCGTCATACAAAGCTTAGCTTTGATTTGTACTAGCCAAAGCTTACAGCGTGAGGCTGTGTAGAGCATATGTGAACACTGCATGGGAAGGGGGACCATATCCCCCCCCCCCCGGATATGATCCACTTTCCTCTCAAAGCCGAGGGGATTGGATGGGGACCCAAGCTTGGGGGCGGGGGGGGGGGGGGGGCTCGTCCCTCCTGAATAAAAAACTACACCCCTGAAGGCTTTTCGACCTGAGTATGCTAATATCCGGCAACTGTATCATATTCCCCTCAATCATCATGAAGTGCTTGAATTTTTTTTATCTCATGCAGACCAATGTTCGCTCTGGAACAAAGCCTAAACTGGCGGTGATAATTTTGAAGGAAGCCTGGGCCATGGGCACATAACAGTGTGTTTGCGTGGTGGGAGTGTGCCCCTGCACATTCAAACACACACACACACACACACACACACACACACACACACACACACACACACACACACACACACACACACACACACACACACACACACACACACACACACACACACACACACACACACACACACACACACACACACACACACACACACACACATATACATACATACACACACACACACATACATACACACGCACGCACGCACGCACGCACGAACGCACGCACGCACGCGCGCAAGCACGCATGTGCTTTTATGCATACGACTGGTTCGCGTACTGCTGCAGTTCATTCTGGAACTGATCATCAGCCCGCGTTATGTCACATAATCGTGAATGTCAATCTGCCAGGGATGTAATCAGGGGTCGCTAGAGGAGATAAGCAATGCTTTGGGGCTCAAACCTATTGCTAAACTGTTGTAAAACTGTTGATGTATATTGGTTGAAGGTTAAGTGTAATTGGAAACCTTGCAAGGCCGGCCATATAACATTATTTATTTCATGCAATTAAACACCCAGCTGATTGTGAGGTATCTCTTGGAAACTGGACAGCCAGCCAGTTTTTATGCTATCAGTACCAGGGCGCGCAGCGCAGCGCCCGTTATCGGGAGCGATCCAGCAAACTCGCTGAGCACGCCTCGTTACAGGGACATTGACCCACTGACATTGACCCGCCACCCATATAACCCAGGCCAAAGGGCTAGGAATCTGAACTTTTGGAACTATGGAAGACTCCGAACTTTACTTCAGTTGATGGCGGGTTTTGACAGGCCATCGCTGTAGTAGGACACAGCACAGGAATTCTGAAATGAGAAAATGTAGTGTGTCACATCAAGAAGGATGCACAATGTGATAGCAAATCTGTGGCGATTGATTGTTTTGTGGATGGATTAAACTCTGTGTATGTGCTGCCATAAATGTGGTGTATGTGCTGCCATACACCACAAGCACTGCGCTGGATACATTTGCTACACCCGCAGCAGCCATGAACAGGAGCGATATTCCCACTGACATGGAGTGTACACACACGAGTGAGGTACCGAAACATTCATTCTATGATTTGATTTGTGGTCCTCGGATGCAATCACCATGAAGAATACTTCGGATGCAATCACCGTGAAGAATACTTCGCTTGTCCCACCAGCCGTTTGTATGATGGTGTCCAAAATAAAAGTAAGGATACGCATGGCATATTTCATTATTACACATTTCATGCTGGGTGTTGTTGCTTAATTCAAAGGGGTATTATGATTCGATGGATCGTGAGGAAGAAATGCACTTAAGAGGGTTTTGCAACGCTGGTATGGGCTGAAATACCCAATACTAATTGTTTTATAGACGCATTTTGGAAAAGTATGGGTGACACAGCCTGGTTTTTGCAGTAACAGCAGTTATTGCGAAAGGCAAAAATAGCAGATAACAAAATTTTGCAACAAAAAAAAGTTGACTACGACAGTTAACCTCCGATACAAAATTTATGTACAACCTGTTATTGAACTGGCGGAAATGTTAACCCTATGCACGCTTGGCTTTAGCAAACTACACCCAAGAATCTTCAGTAAGAAATGACATTACTGGGCACGTGCCGATGACCAGAACATTCGTGCCGGCTGGACTCGATCCTCCCCTCCCCAACTCCCAGTCCACGTTTTTGTGTGTAGTGCGAATGTTCTGGTCTACGAATGTTCTGGACTGTATCACCATACCGGACCTGGCGTACCCATTAACAGTTATACAAATGGCACGCGATCTTGCGATATGGACGTGATGAACATTGCTTTGTAATAAAGGCATTTAATTAAGTTAAATAACGATGTCAACACCATTTCCTAATTATTTTTGGGCTGCAGACGCAGCCTAATTATGGAATGCACCGTAATTACGTGTTCGGTGGAGCACTTCTCAAATCATGCAAACACACGATTATCCTTGTGATGATCTTCATATTTCATCACCACAGCTTCTCAGTATGGCGTTTGTGTAGAATGTGTAGAATGTAGATTTGCGTAAAACCAGGACGGCACAAATTTATACTTGACAACATTTAGCGTTGCCTACGCATACGCATTGCTTGACCCCACTATGTACTCACCCGCAATCTTTGAGCTGTATTTCGCAGCTCGAGGAACTGATCCTGTCACGAGAGATCGAACATCTTGAGTGGTAAAATCAGGTACTAAAACTGATGATAGCATGGTATGAACACTTTCTGAATGGTGTCATTTAGAGCATGTTCTAAAGAGCATCATATTCCTTTATGCCTTCCTGTAACAATTTACGCCCAAACTAATCCAGCAAAAACGTTATGATAGCACACCTTTCCACTAGTGAACAGATAACAATGCTGTTCTTCTTTCGTTTGGTGTCTATCGACTTCGTGGTTTTGAAATTTAAGATTATTTGAAACATGTGCCTCTTTTTGCTGCAGGCATGTAATAAACACAACATTTAACTTACATGCAAATAAACACATGCAAACAACAGCATGCAAATAAAAGATTCCCCCTTCGAAGTTCAGGTCTTAAAACTCAGGTAAAAGATCAGCCTGTCGTTTGAGGTCTCGAAACTTTTCAAGAAAGTATGGACATGTTGGATGTTAATGGTTCTATACCTCTTGAATGGATCTTTGAATGCGTGATATGAAAACCACGAGCACATGCCTCTGAGCGAGTCTACTCTTCTCTTCTGGTTGCGATCCTCGCCATTCCCCACACCCCTTGGCGCTGGGCACAAAGCAGATCAAGCACATTTTCAACATGTCAGCTAGGCTTTAGCCGCAGCGATTGGCTTGTTAGCGACAGCGTGGTGGTCAAATTGTCATATGCCATCTGCTCAAGTAATCGTGAATAACGCACGGTCGATGTTAGATTGCGCGATTGTAGCGCGCGCTGAACTTGCGGAGTTTGGGCTTGTCACTCGGCTGTCCACCTGAAGAGTTTGGACTCGTGACTTGGCTGTCCATCTAAGGAGTTTGGACTCATCGCTCGGTTATCCAACTGAAGAGTCTGGATTCGGCACTCGGTTGTCCAACTGAAGACTTTGGACTCGTCACTCGGCTGTCCACCTGAAGAGTTTGGATTCATCACTTGGCTGTCCAACTGAAGCGCTTGGACTCTTCACCCGACTGTCCACCTGAGGAGTTTGGGCTTGTCACTCGGTGCGTCAGCAGAAGATGGACATCATTCGTGCTGCAAACACATCAGCATCGCGATAGCCCAAAAAGTACTCAATATTGCACATGTGCCGCCTCCTGATGGACAGAACACATCCTGCAGAGTCGAGTCCTGCCAGCCATCGTCAATTTATGTGCAAAGCTCGGAATTTGTGATGCGGAAATGAAGGTGGTGAAATGAAAGGAGATGTTCCCCAAGTGAGGCACATTGAACCAGTTTTTGTAACCAGTTCTCAACGTCACTTTTGTTCAATACGTTGCACCGAAGCTGAGTTCATATGCTTTTAGAGCTGCCGAGTCTAATATCCAGTACTAGACATAAAGTGGAAAGCTGACGCCTTCTCCATCCAAGGAATCTCCATTTACGCAACGCAGAATTCCTTGCTTCGCTTCCACCTTTTAAAACATGCGCATCTGAGGCAGACACGTTTTGAATTAAATAAAGCTCTTAATAACATCAAGAACTTGCATTTCTGCTCCGGCCTAGGGAAAGGCACGTAGCAGATTAAGATTCTGGTCTCGACAATCCAAGCCTCGCAGGCTACGTGTCACGCGCGGCGCAGGCTGCTCGTTACTGTACTGCAAAGGATGGTCCCTTACAGACAGTTCGGTGAGCCCTCACAGCGAATCTTTCCGACCAGCGTGTTCTAGGAAGCGGTGGACGCTACTGTGCCACTCCCCTAGCGTTGCCCCGCTCTCGAGAATAAGCGTCAGACTGTCTCTGACATTAGCGCTTCATGAGACCACACCATATCCAAACATGACCTCCCCAAGGCGCGCCCGACCCCCTGCCGCTCAGTCCATCCCAGCGCCGATATTTGGCCGTCTCGCGCCCTCCCAGTCCGGATGTCGATCTGCGCTCGCCCTCCCCAGCCAGCGCGCAGCCGGCAGGCAGTACGCAGGCGGCCGCCGATTCCAGTGCCGGCAACAGGTCCCTGGCCGGCGGCAGGCAGTCGGTGTCGACGGAGCGACGAGGCTGGCCGCCACGCGCCCGTCTCGGGACCGTCACTGCGCCGGTGGCGACCCCGCGCTGCCCGCTCGGCACGAGCGAGGTGTGAAAGACGGGAGCAAGAGGTCAGGTGACAGGAGACTCGGTCAGGTGACTGGAGCAGAAAACTAGGCAGTGCCAAGATTGCTCAGGTCGTTCTGATCTGCTGGCAGGAGAGCACACGCCGAGCCCAGATATTAGACATCAGCAGCTCCAGACACCCGGCCGCGGAGTATCAGACGGAGGTGAGGCCCTTGAAGAGCATCGAGTGACCACCGGAATCAAGGTGGCAATCAGGCGACTGCCGAAGATAACGTGGCCACTGGCAATCTGGTAATGGGCGCAAGCCTTTAGGGGCTGGGCGATTTTGCTCCACCTGGGCGGCAAACCAGAACAGTCCAAACCTCAGAAATGAACGTTTAACACAGAAAAGCACTCGGAGAGGGCAGCAGACCAGCTGGTGAAATCAACAGACGGACCTGGCGGCGAAAAATCGACAGCGACCGGCCCCGAATCGGCTGCGTCTCATCAATCTTGAACTGTTGGGACTTTGACTACCCATTGGTACAAGAAAAGATATTTATCCGTTCACTGCGAATTCACTTCTGTTTGATATTCCCGGTGTCCCGCCGAGCACTGCCACGTCAGTAATTAGCCTCGGGGACAAAAACAGAGAAAGAAACTGAGACAGTGACAGAAAGAGAGAGAGAAGCAGTGCGTGAACGGGATACACGCGGAACGCTCCCTGCCGCCCGGGTACCGAGGCTTCACCAGGGCATTCCCACGCCGTCGAGCCGGAGCACGGTCGCTGTGGGGCACCCGCTGCCGCGCTGTGGGGTGCAGCAGCCGCGGTGGCGGTCGATGCCGGTGATTACGGCAAGTTTGTCTAATTAGGTCAGGGAATGTTCGTGCCCCACTGATTGAGTAACAAGCGGATCTGCCAAGCCTCGACGAGGGTCGACGAACAATCATCCGTGCCGTGAACGCGCGGTGAGGGTGCACGTGTGTCGGTCCTGCCCTGGGCGCTACCCGACACGATGGCGTCAAACGACGGGGACTCGATGCCCCACCACGTCTATCACCGGGGGCAATTCGAAGAAGAGTTCTTGAGGCAGTACGCCAACAATTCTCTGCCGTTGTTTAACAGGTCACGGATTATTTACGAAGAGAAGAACTTCGTGCTGACAATCAAGGTGCAGATCATCTTCTATATGGTCTACTCCATCATATTCTTCATCGGGGTGTTCGGAAACTTTCTGGTCGTATATGCCGTTCTGCGCAACAAGGCCATGCGGACGGTGACCAACTACTTCATCCTGAACCTGGCCCTCTCGGACATCTTGCTTTGCGTCCTGTGCGTTCCTTTCACCCCGCTCTACACATTCCTCGGACGCTGGATCTTCGGTAAAGTTCTCTGCCACTTGGTCACGTGTACACAAGGCATCAGCATCTACATATCTTCTTTAACGCTGACGGCAATCGCTATCGACCGCTTCGTCGTCATCATCTACCCATTCCGATCCCGCATGCTGACATCGACGTGCACCATCCTGATCCTGTGCACCTGGCTCTTCTCCATGGGGGCAACGCTGCCGTACGCCTACTTTGTGGAGCATAGGCCTATCGATTCCGACGAGCCAGTGGAGTCGGACGTGTACGTGTGTCAGGAGGACTTCCCGGAGGACATCCGACTCACGTTTGGCAGCATCACGACCATCCTGCAGTTCGTCATCCCCTTCCTCATCATGACTATCACGTATACGCTTATCTCGTTCAAGCTGTCGAGTCGGGCACGTTCGAAGCCGGGCTCCAAGAGCGTGCGAAAAGAGCAGGCCGACCGCGAGAGGAAGAAGCGCACAAACCGCATGCTCATATCCATGGTCACAGTGTTCGGGCTCTCCTGGCTGCCACTGAATGTGATGAACCTGCTCGACGACATCTCGTCCAACCTCGGTCTGGGATGGGAGAACTGGCAGTATTTCCACCTCTTCTTCTTCGTCGCGCACGCCATCGCCATGAGCTCCACCTGCTACAACCCCTTCCTCTACGCCTGGCTCAACGAGACCTTCCGTAAGGAATTCAAGGAGATCCTGCCCTGCTTCCGCAGCAGCGGCGGCGAGACCGGTGCAATCAGCGGCGTCCAGCCGAACGGCGCGCCGCTCCGGCCGACCGCGTCACGTGCGGCCATCTGCGACACAAAGCCGACCGACTGCCACGTGGCGCACGTACACGCCACGTTCTCAGTCGGCAACGAGAACGTGGTGCTGCTGACAGCGGCCGTCGTGGACGACCGGCGCGCATCCACGCAGACCACCGAGACGGCTACGGACACACCGCCGCTCGTCACCGACCTCTAGGTGAGTGACGCTCGGACCGGCAGACCTCTAGGTGAGTGGCGCTCGGACCGGCAGACCTCTAGGTGAGTGGCGCTCGGACCGGCAGACCTCTAGGTGAGTGGCGCTCGGACCGGCGAACCTCTAGATGAGTGGCGCTCGGACCGGCGGACCTCTAGGTGAGTGGCGCTCGGACCGGCGGACCTCTAGGTGAGTGGCGCTCGGACCGGCAGACCTCTAGGTGAGTGGCGCTCGGACCGGCAGACCTCTAGGTGAGTGGCGCTCGGACCGACGGACTTCTAGGTGAGTGGCGCTCGGACCGGCGGACCTCCAGGTGAGTGGCGCTCAGACCGGTGGACCTCCAGGTGAGTGACGCTCGGACCGGCAGACCTCTAGGTGAGTGGCATTCGGACCGGCTGACCTCTAGGTGGGTGGCGCTCGGACCGGCAGACCTCCAGATGAGTGACGCTCGGACCGGCGGACCTCTCGGACCGGCAGACGTTTGATTCCGGCAGTGCTGCACATGTGGTCAGCGTATAACCCAGTTGCGCCTCGAGCGTGCTCAGCTTCACCTCCTCGAAACCTGAATTGATGCACAAGAGCTATTTTGGACCAGGGTTTGTCATAACCAAATACCCAATATATCTTAAAGCCGAGCCGCTTTTGGCAGTTCTGGACTTGGTAAATCACCGGTTATATACCAGGAAGGATTTAAATGCCCAAACGGATAGCACCTATCAAAAATGCAATTACCCATGACTTATCTTCATGATATCATATCACTGCTATGAAAGCGATGCTTGGAAAATTGGTCTTCTGTCGCCGAATGCTGCATGCCTTATGCAAAGTGTGAGTTGCGTTGTCGAAGTCTAAAAGTAGAAGCTGCAACGTTGATATAAATTTTCAAGCAAAGTCAACAGATGTACAAAGTATCAGTTATCATTTCGATTAGTTGAACGTTCTACGCACCGATTTTGGCCGGTCAGAGCCATCTAGAGTGGTTTCCGCCTGTCGGGACAACGACATTTTGTAAAGGAAGTGCTTTGCATTCTGCACAGAAACAGTAATACTCCCCAGACGCAGGACAACCAGTTATTATTTCAAAAGTCATATGGTGTGTCCGACGTCAAATGGCAGACGTGTCCAAAGATTTGAGCTTTTCGGAATGTGCTATCATACAACGCGTGCGTGCGGTATAAGGGACGCAGTGTGACAGCCTAAGAGCGACCATGTCCGAAACGGCGCCCGACTTTGAAACGGAAGGGAATAGTCCTCATACAGAAGCGGAAAGCATATAGGACGGAGAAATTATAGCAAAAACAACGCGTCGTAACAGGGTATCTTAGCCTGTCACATGAATATTTAATCAAACTTTGAGGTTTTTTTAGGATGACGTCGGGTACGTTCCCAACAACAATAAATAACTATCTGGTAAGATAAGTTAAAAGGTAAGATAAGTATAAGGTAAGATAAGTAAAAAAGCGTCTGTGTTGTGTGAGGTAAAATCCCATCCCGATTAGAGTGGCCCACCCCGTCAAGGCCAGGGAAATCGGTTTTTTTGGCGAAAAAGGTATGAAAAACAACGACATACATAATATTTTTCGAATCCTTCACTATCACGTATTATATTAATTGGTGGCATCAGAGGCAATATGCGGACGACTACACGTCATGTGAGAACAACATCCGGAGATAAGTGTCCCAAGCTTACCCTCAGATAACGGGTCAGCGGGAGGGACCAGTGTAGAGCTGTCACATTTTGAGATCGGAAAACACGCACCTACCCCGGGTCCAAACTTTACAACCCGCCCAGCCACACAAGAACAGTTTCCCCAGGAGAGCCTGCACGAGCAAGCTAACCTTATTTTTCATTCCAGCTATAGATACTCAAAACTAAAATAGCATTAGTGTCAAAATAGATGGCTACGAGAGGCCTGCAACACATTTAGTCCTAAAATTTTGTTTTCACGGCTTACACTGATATTCATAATTTTCATCCCGATTACTTACATGCTTCACATACATACTTCGCACGTACACATACGAATGCTTCACCCCATCATAGAATTAGGATAATAGCAAGAAGTCATCAGTCTGCATTGATTTCATTAGCTACATTTTTAACCGACATTGAAGTTGTTGCATCTTATGGATTTAAACGCCTAGAACTTTCGGTCATTTTGAACATGCTTCTTAAGGACAAATAAGGACAAAAATATGCAATCTCCGTGGTCCCAGACTTAATCAAAGACACTCGTTTCTTTACCAAAGCCTTACCGTTGAATTGAGCGATTCTGAGGTCATATAACGAATTGAAGCTGGTGTATTCGCCTGCGCTATGCGAGATGGTTTTGCATCCTACAGTTTTCTTGTTGTCGGCATCTGACGTCAATCCCAAACAGTATTCCCAAGCGGATGGATCCATGGTCCATGCTTGACCGCGCATGGCCGGCTGCGGTCGTGCGCTTTCTTCTCTTTCAAACATCGTTGTTTTCGTGTCCATATCAAACCCGTAGAGTACTTTGGGGTTTTGTAAATATATGTGTGCTCGTATTGAATGAGTGGTGGCTGGACTAGGCATATCTCTTGGAAAATTTCGGCTATGGACACTAGGATGGGGGAGATGTTTATGACATGTTGGGTAGATGCTTGAAGAAGTACCACATTACGTTACTGCTTGCACTTACCTTAACTATAATTAGCTCTCACACTTCTCTTGCAATTATGAGCACAAGAGCGCAAGTCTTGTTAGACGCTTTCCTGAAACTTTTTCATAACTTAGGACTGAAGTACTGGAAAATGCAAATAGATGGGTAACCAGGGGCGAACAACTGATAAGTCATGGGATGCAGATGGCTATGGCTCCAGCCCTATGGATAACGGTTGACTGGGAACAAAAAGTCTTACCCGTAAATACCTATAGATGCCGTGACGTTGAGATCTGCGCAAGATTTTCGCCCGTGTTTTGAAGGCTCTTCGAGATTTGCAATCTTTACGTTTCCCAAGTAGTTTGCCATTAGGGACTGCCGTATTGGTCACTCAAACGCCGCGACAAGGCCACATCTTCTGAAACATCTCGCAAAAAACGCGCCGAAGTTGAATAGCACATATTTTAAGGAATGATGCTCCATATCGTTAAAAACGCGTGTAGCTGAGACCATGATTCAGCATAATATTTTTTTTTAAAGTGAGGGTAACGACTGGGCAGGCTCAGTTAGGCTCGGTTAGGCCGTTTAAGTTTGAAATGTTTTCTCGCACATGTGTGTTTATCACTTGAACATATCCTGGGAACCATATCAGACAGAAAGCTTATGTGAAGTATCTCTCTTACCGCTGACAAGCATTCCTCAAGGAAAATACAATTCATTCTCGAATCGTGTACTGGCATACACCGAATATTTTGAGACAGCTGTTTCGATTCCTACAAAAACTGGTCTGGCTGACTATCTAAGATCTATCAAGCGTCACAGTAAAACGCATTCTTGCATGAAATGCACGAAACATTTGAACTGCACAAACGTGTAACTTTATTATTTGAACTATGGATTTACTACTGACGGGCAGTAGAGAGGGGCAAAGGGCCAGTCGCAATCTGGGAAAAGTAACATTTCGGTATTTGGTGTCCCTGTTATAGAGCCTTGTTCACTTCGGCGCATATCATTTGCGGGTGGAATCAATTGCGTGACTTCGAATGACGAAATATGTTTAATGTCGGATAGCACATGACATTGTCGACTTGTTGTTATGGTTCATAAAATAATGTTAAAGATTTAATTAGAACCTTTTGAATAGATGGATTTCTGGATGAGATGTCAAACTAAGCAGAGTTTGTCGTGTGAACACTGACCCCTGCATCGGATCGTGCAATTTCAGGTAAATTACAGAACTTCGTGGCGAAATTTGAACGTGCCGCAATGCTTGACACGGTTTGCCCTACCTTCTGACGTCACCTTACCTCGAATACGCCGCTACCACCGGCCACAGGCCAAATATGCCAAGGGCAAATAGCGAGCTTTAAAGGGAGTGTGTCTTGTCAAATTAGGATTTTGACTGTGCACGAAGTATGGCGGGGAATCTCTATTAAAATTTTGGTGTCACTGTTTTCTACAAATTTGCCCCCGCTGACAGTGCATTACCACACCCCCCAAATTTTCTTTGGTTTGTGTGGAAGAACAAAGTAATCTGAAAGCCCTCAAGCAATATTTACTAATAAACACATCGATATTATTGAGAAAGTAACATTAGCTCTAGCCAATGGCCTTCGAGGATGTCATTTGTCAGCGTTGACAGCAGCTTGCGAACGCGGCGATGGCTGCGGCCATTCTGTTGGCTTTTTTATATTCAGCTGAAGGCTGCGAGTGCACGGGTCTAGACGTGTCGTGAGGCTGGTCAGTTGATACGCACTATCCACGTTGACCCACTATATACTGAGATGAGAAACAAGTATTGTGTCATGCCAGTCAGCTGCATCACGCTCTAGGGGAATGTGATTGCTCTACGTTGCTTAGCAACCAAAATAATGGCTATGTTTCTAGCGTGCAATTACTCGCCACATACAATCCAATGCATTCGTCCTTTCCTACCCGCTGATTGGTTAATCTTTCAGGTCTGTATTTGTTCACGCACAGCCATCGATGCGATCGATACAAATAAATCGAAACTGTTACAAGATCCAAAAGCACATTTAGCTACCAAAACTAACCATAGACAATTGCCAAACTCTCCTTAGGCGTGCATTGAGGAAACTGAAAACATTAGACACACTCCTTTTAACCGACTCGGGCCCACCCTGCCAGGGATAGATGGTCCACAAGACAGCGCTCTAATGAGCTGCGCTGCCGATGCTATCAACACACGCTCAATATGGCAATTTAGTGTTGTTTCTTCCCAAAATGAATAAGTCAAAAAACGACAAACTTACTGCCTGAGAGGCTGAAGATAGTCCGGTTTTGGCTTATGCATGTCCTAGCAAAGAGTACAATCATTGACATGTTAATGCTCATTCTTTACTTTCCACAATTACA